TCACTGACCCCCATGACTGCCCACGTATCCCCTCTCTACAGCACGCACCCAGGCTGCACCTCCTGGGATCTCCCCAATGCTCTCCACTTTCCTTTCTAACTTTATCACCAAAGAAGTCACAGAAATTAATAGGAGGATTCAAAAATAATAATAAATTCAGTACATTTTAAAAAATGTTATAATATAGGGATTCTCTTCTCTACCACATTCAATTCATTCACTTGTCAGATATTCACTGAGTCTCAATTTTGTGCCAGGTACTAAGCTGGGTATCAGAGGGTGAGGGTGGGGTGAGGGAGTTAAAACAAGACTGTCTACTGGGAAAGATAAACAAATAATCTGCTAGAGGTACACAGGCTGCCAAAAAATGCTAGAGGGTCTCCAATCCCCAAGGGGGTAGGGATTAGAGAATGCATTTCAGTGAAATGGGTGCCTGGGATGCATTACAAAGAAATTCTCTATAAAAGTTGGGGGTGCATAGGGGAGAAGGTGACAGAAAGTTGGGGACATAGCATGGGAGAAACTACTGAGCATGGGAGAACAGGAAACACCTCTAAGGATACCTAGTAAAACTGGACTTGGGGCCCATGGCACAGGAACTAAATCAGTGCGCCCTGAATAGGGGTATGAGCAGCTTTCAGCATCTGCTCCAGGGAAACCTGCCAGGATGTTACTATCATGCCCGAGAGAACATGCCCCGGGTATGGGAATGCAGGAGGGATTATTTCTAACAGTTTTTAAGCTCAGCAACGACAGAGCAGACACAAAAGCCATGCCATGTGCTCATCGAGCTTTATTTTAGTGATACAGGGATAGTACCCAGAATCCCCTGTGAAGTAGAGGGGTGGTTTCCAAAAGATAAATGTTCATTGTTTGGAGAGGACCGATCAGACAGCTTTAATGAAGTTTTAAAAAATCACAGAGGAATGAAAGTGTGGGGGGGAGGAAAAGGGAAAGTACCTGAGGACTGTTCAATCCAGCCGAACTACAAGGCGCGGCCAGTAGGTTCAAACAACCCCCAGTTTTCTGATTATCTGGGCGACTCTTCTAAAGATCCACAAACACAAAACCAGCCTAACTCATTCTCTCCCCACTAGTTGGCCCTAACCCTAAAATACTGGAAATCAATGATTCAATAATTTATTTTCTACTTTGCTCTTATGGCTGAGTGCCCCTCCTCAGGGCATCTACTAAATGCTTTACTTAATGGTAGCTCATGAACATCTGGACGTTAACAGTTGCTGATTCAAGGGGAAGATGAACTATGGTTCCTTGGTTTAAGTCTATTAGTTCCTTCTTGAACATATTCTTTTTTCTTCCCTCTATAGAGAAATACTTCTTTCTTTGTCACAAAAGATGAGTCATTTTTGCGATTTTAATTCCCCCCAGGAGTCTTACAATAACACTAAAATCAACAATAGTGTCCTTTGCAGGAAAAGAACTATAATTAAACCATTCCAATATAATCACTAACTCATGTGGGGTTCACTGACTTTCCGTTGAAAAGCACTCTAAAATTCTTATCCAGTATTACAGAATTCAAAAACAAAAGAAGCCAAACAATGTCTGAGACGCCTGACACCAGGAAGAAAATGAGAAGACCACACAAAGTTACATTCTCAATACTGTGATATTATACTAACCTCAGTCAGTCAATAAATATGTGTGAGCCTGTTACGTACCTGGCACTGTTTATAGGTGTTTGGGATACAGTACCAACATAGACAAAGATCCTAGCTTTCACTCTGGAGAGGGAATGGGGGAGCAGAATTTGGAAAAGACAGACAATAAACAATAGACATATGAAATAAATTATATACTGCAAATTATATAGTAAGAAGATGATAAGCATTATAGAAAAGGAAAAGAAAGAGTAGACGAGGGCCAGTAATGAAGGGGGTTTAGGGATGGCTACAATTTGAAACAGAGTGATCAGGGTAGGCCTCAACTGGATGTGGGAAGACTTGAGCTGGGGCAGGAAGTAGCCCCCTAGGAGTTACTGAACACCTTCACAAGCTACTCTGCCTTCTGCTGACTTGGTTTCCCCATTTTTAGAAGTGAAATGTTGATTCTCTTCAAATAAGGGTGTTATTTACATTGAGATGGTGATTATCATTTTAAGTAACATTTTAGTCGTTTAGAATAGTGTGGAGGGCAATGGAGGGAAGGGCAAGGAGAAAGGTATTGCAATTATCAAGAAACTTTCTAAAAAAAAAAAAAATCTTCCAGGCATTATTTCCTATGTGGAAATATAGTTAATATTTTCCAAACTCCATCTGGGACATAAAAACAATGAACAGAAAATCTTACAAACTGCATAAATACCTATTTATTCACAGTGTTACTGTATCATCTATTGCTTTGCATTCTTTTATAACTTCTTTCTATACAAAGTCCAAGCTGATGTCATCTGTTTTATAGATCATGGGATTCTGAAAGGCAAGAACCAGTCTACCTATTTTTAAATGTCTGCAAGATGTCATACATAGGCTGACAGATAATGGATACTAGTTGATCATAACTAAAAGTATCTCTTCTTTCTCATAGCATGAACCTACTTTTCCTTTTAACTCAAACACCTCAAAGCGTTCAAGGAAAGTTCCATACAGATTCCAAGCACCTTCAGGGAAGACAAGTAGTGCAGGGGGCGCAGCAAGATGCAAACGCACAGGCTTTGGAAAGAACCTGCCTGGGTTTCAGGACTCAGCCTGACCACATGCCAGCTGTGCAACTTTGTGTAAATCACTTGACATCTCCTAACATGCTTTGCTTCATCAGGGAAAACTTGAAAAATAATACCTATCTCCAAGATTTTGTGTAAATGAGCTAACAGATGCAGAAGAACCCGGCATGGTGCCTGACTCATAAAAGGCATTAGATAAATGTTAGTTTTCTCGTCACCAAATTTCCCCACCCCCTCGCATCCCCAACACACACACACACACACACACACACACACACTCTTCATCAGTGAGTAAATAAATGTCTTGCTTTAAACTACAAGCAGAGCGTAAGAGAGAGCCAAGTTCTCCTCACTCCAGCCCACTAGCCCTGGCAGCCTCTCGGCTGTGGAATCCCTGGTTATTTCCTTTCTCAAGGAGGAGATACTATTCTGGTTTGACAGATCCTTTCCTGGACACACTCTCAGAATTCCCTAAGGTTCTTATCGTGGCTAATGGATAACAATGCAGAGACTATGGGAGTGAGTAATCACTCTCTCCTAGCTAAAAACTTCCTTTATTGACTTCTCGAACTTCCCGTCCGTATTTTGCTGCCAAATCAACCTCTTGTTCTAGGCAACTATTAAAAGTAATTCTCTTGAAGCTGAAAAACACATTTAGCCTTCGACAATAAATCACACTAAACTCAATACTAGCCACTTAGCCTAGTAGACTAATAGAATATTAGACTATTGGAATATTTGTAAAATTAAATTGTTTACATTTCTATTTCCTCACTTAACCCTTACAGGGGTGGGGAACCTATTTTCTGCCAAAGGCTATTTGGGTATTTGTAACATCATTCGAGGGCCATACAGAATTATCAACGAGCTGCTGTGTTGGGTCAGGCTGATTTGGTGAGGCGAGTGATGTGAGCTGGTACTGGCCAGACATTCCCTATCCCTGCAAAATGAAAGCAGGAGTAAAGAAAGATATCTTTTAATTATTCTTTCTAATGTAGATGACAGTAGTATGTCAATAAAAGTTTATTTAGTGTCTAGAATGATAGTATTAGCTATTCTTCATTGAAAGCGAAACTGAAAATAAGACAATAACAGCTTACTCTTGTGGTTTACAGTTAAGTAGCACCAACTTTTTTATCATGTTGCAGTGTCTTGTACTGAATGTACCTCAAGCATGCAGCACAGTGCCTAGAACACAGCTGGCAGTCAATACATTGTTACTGAATAAAATGACTAAATTACCATCTGGTCTTATACTGGGGACCAACATATGACCTTTAATCCCCAAGAAATAAAACACACAACCCCATTAATTGTGAACCATCCTTGACACCGGAATCAAAGATTCCCATTCCGAAAAGGCAGCGAGAACAACCTTTTGAGGCAATTCTGCTTGTTTAGCACATTATGCACCCCAACAGTTTTCCTTCGTTTTTGTACTGAGGATATCTGTATAAAAAACAGAATCTTTGTTGCTTAGTAATTCATCTGCTCCAGCTGCTTGTCTGTTCCCAATCAAAATTCTCGGTTTTCAGCCTCCTCATCACTTGTATAACGCGCGGACAGCCTTGGCCAGGCTCACGCCCTTCTCTACCTCTGCGGAACGAACGCGGGGCCCCCACGCTCACCCTTTGCTCCTCCTTTTGTTTCTATTTCAGAGTCATGTATAATTGTGTCGCATATAATCTATCAGTGCTCATCATAAAGTGCTCCTTGATTACCAGAGCACCCCCCCCCACCCTAGTTCCAAAATTATCTAGCTTCAAGTCAGGGCAGGGTTACCCCAAAGTCAGAGAGGATACCTGGAGAGGTTCTGAGGGCCAGAAGCCCAGGGAAAATTACAGAAAGATAGGTGGGTACATTTAAGTAGATAGGAAACTATTTTTTTTAGAGGTAAAAGCATGTGGGAAACTTGATCACCCATTACTGCTAATTCAGTTTAAAGCACTTCACTAACCACACCTATTTTTCAATGTCTAATTCTCACTGACTTGCCATTCTACAGACTTGCCTATCCCTTTCCCACCGCTGTTTATCTTATTTCTTACTGTTTCTCCAAAAAGGACAGTAAACAATTTCCTAGCCACTCATCATCATAAACCCTGACATGTTAAATCACCCCCTGCTCAGTTTATACACCACATTGGGCCCATAAAACTCCTCCCTCACCAGTAACCCACCTCACACAAAATTTTCACTTCCCCTTTTTGCTGCTGGGAAGGATACTTCCTAAAGGACCAATTCAGCCACACCCACCACCCTCCTGCAGTGCAGCAGGTGCACCTCCCAACCCCAGGATGCCATGGGGACTCCTTACCTGGAAGGCAGTTGCACTCAAAAGTGAAGTCACCGGTCTGCCTGCAGGTGCCTCCATTGACACAGGGCGAGGGTGCACAGGGCACGTAGGGGCTGTCACAGTGCTGGCCTGTGAAGCCCTGGGGGCACTGGCACTGATAGGAACCCGGTAGGTTGAGGCAGGTGCCACCATTCTGGCACTGTCTTGGAATGTCACACTCATTGACATCAGTCTCACATTTCTGCCCTGTGAAGCCTGCCAGGCATTTGCAGGAGAACTGGTTGGCCACAGTGATGCAGGTACTTCCATTGGCACAGGGCTGAGACAGGCAGGCATCAGTCCACTGGCACCGCTTACCTGGAAGGATAAGAGAATCAGTACTGCTCTCAGAAGTGGGAGTCAGCCCCATCCTCAACACCCCCCCCCCTACCCAACAAGTGGCATCAGGGGTTACTACATGGAGAATTCCTAAGCTCTCTGAATGAATAAAGTGTATTGATATTTTCTACAGTATATAGCTACTAAACAGACCTCTTGGAAGACATAAACAGGTCAATACTACTTTCTCCTTTAAGCATAATACACATGCACACATATTCTGGGAAACAGTTTATTACATGTAGTCTGGCTATAAATATTGCTTGATGTGTTTGAAGAGCATGAAGAATCTGTGACTCGTTGTATATGAAAACTACACCAAACTAGAAGCTGTCATGAGACTAAAGGTCTAGAAAGGGAACTCTTGTGGACTCTCAGGCAGGAAAGTACCCGAAGCAGCAGGCTCTAATGTGCTAGATTCTAAGGCACGACTCCAAGGACGCAAAGCAGAAAGAGGTAGAAAGGGAGGAGAAAACACGCCCATGCTGCTAATAAATTTGTTATTTATGTGGCTTTTTGTTGTCATTAACTTAAGCTTTTTTTTTTTTTAATCCTCACCCGAGGATATTTTTCCATTTATCTTCAGATAGAGTGGGAGGATGGGAGTGGGAAGGGGAGAGAGCGAGAGCGAGAGCGAGAAAGAGAGACATGGATTGGTTACCTCCCTCTAGACCCTGACCAGGACCAGGGACCAAAACTGCAACTGAGGTATGTGCCCTTGACCAGAATCGAACCCACAGTTCTTTGATCTGAAGACGGACGTTCTAACTGCTGAGCCAAACCTTGGCCAGGGCTAAGCTTTTTTTTTTTTTTTTTTTAAACAAAAGATGTGAGAACCTCCGGAATTTGTAATTCTCCAAGTGCTTGTCAAAGGAAATACCAAATTTTTGACCCTCATCAGGAAGCAAGTGAGAGTCAAGATAGCTTTCCTAAGAGAGAGATGACATCCGAGCACAGAGAGGTGCCCTCTGCCCACCATGGATATCAAGTCAATGGGGAAAGATGCCATAAAAAGTGGGGCACAACATACATATCTCAGGGTGCTAAGCAGAGAGAAAATGAAAAAAAAACTACTATTTTTCTTCCTACTATTTCTTCATTCCACTGAGAGGTACTTACCTGCAGTGGAGAGGAGATTAAAATGGTTACTTCTGACAATCATGTGTATCAGAATATTTGCCTATAACTGAAAGAAAGGTCTCTGAACTTGGTTTCCCATAGATGTTATGTTCTATGGGCATTCACTTCCTGCCTCTGTTTCTTCATCTAAGAGTGGACATTCGCTAATCAAGTCTGATTAGGAAGGGTATGAGGCTATCACACAACCAAAAGGGTGAACCTGACCTGTGACAGACCAAAGTAGTGACGTGAAAAGATGACCAGAACCCTGCAGAACATGAAGAAGTCCTTTTAATGCAAAGGAAGAAGTTTTAATTTGAGGGTCATTTCAGAGTAACATTTAAATTATATATATATATATATATATATAGAGAGAGAGAGAGAGAGAGAGAGAGAGAGACAGAGACAGAGACACAGAGAGAGAGAGAGACAGAGAGAGACTCCTAGGGTGAGGATAAAAAAAAAAAACAGAAGGCATTACTGACATTTTGCCTAGTTAGGATTAAACTGTTTTATTTTTTATCCTCACCTGAGGACATTTTTCCATATTTTGCTCAGATAGAGTGGGAGGGAGAGAAAGAGAGAATCATCGATGTGAAAGGGACACATCGAGTGGTTGCCACCCGCACGACCCAACCAGGGCCGGGGACAAACTGCAACCGAGGTACGTGCCCTTAGCGGGAGCCGAACCCGGGTCTCTCTGGACCGCAGGCCTATGCTCCAACCACTGAGCCAAACTGGCCAGGGCAGGATTAAACTGTTTTAAATGGGCATGGCCTCCCTTTGCCTTGTGGAGCAACACAACTCACAACTGATCATCGAGAAAGAATTACGGTGGCACCTCAGTTCTTGAACCTAATTCATGCTGGAAGGCTGTTCAAGAAAAGATTCGTTCAAAAACTGAATCCTTTTTTCCCATTAGAAAGAATGTAAATTGAATTAATTCTTTCCAGACCCCCAAATGACTTCATTTTAACCTTTCTTATATACAGTGCATGTCTAATGTGCTCTCTGATCTATAAGCAAACACTTCTTTTCTCACAGGCTCGAACCTCCCCTACTGGCCTTGAAGGGATGGCATGGGCGCCCTTCCGGGGGTCTTTCAGGGCAGCGGCTTCGCTCCTCCACACCCCACTGCCTCCAGGCCCCGCCACCAGCTCACTGCTTCCCTTCGTCCACATCATCGACAGTGTTTCTACCTCTTCAACTGCCTGTGGTCATTGTTCCTTTCACACCCGTAGCAGTATTAGCACTCCTGATGGTCCCTTTATGTTTTAAAATTGTGCTAAATAATCATCCATTTTGCCAACAACAAAAGCCAAAAAACAACATAAAAATATTCACAGTACAACTTCCTGAGATGTTAACAACCAAAGATTTAGCAGTAAACTGACTTGAATTCTCTCCTTTGTTTGTGGCCTGAGAGATGTTTTGTGTCATGCTGAAAGGGTTTTCAGGTCGAGAACCAAAGTTTTGTTCAACAACCGAGACATGATTTCCCTGACAACTTGGAGAACTGAACCGTTTGAGATGGGAGAACCGAGGTTTGACTCTCTTCTCTCAACCACCAAATCTCTTCAGTGACTCCCAGCCTCGATGCAGTCACAGTCATGATGGAGCTAATGGATCTCCTGACTATTATTTACCCCTACCAACACCCTTTAATGGAAAATAAATAGAACAAGAATTCCAAACTAACTGATCCAGTCTAGTTTTCAGAGTTTTTCACTTTTTGCTTATTAGATTTACAGAATCATTGGTGTTATAGGGAACAAAATGGTTTTCCTTTTTTGTTAATCCTTGCCCAAGGATATTTTTCCATTGATTTTTGATAGCATGGAAGGGAGGGTAGAAGAGGGTAAGAGAGAGTGAGAAAGTGTGTGTGTGTGTGTGAGAGAGAGAGAGAGAGAGAGAGAGGAGGGGGAGAGAGAGACATCAATATGAGAAAGACACAACAGTTGGTTACCTCCTGCATGACCCCAACTGGGGTCAGGGATCAAACCTGCAAACCAGGAACGTGGCCTTGACTGGGAATCAAACCCTCAACCCTTTGGTCCTTGGCCCAACGCTCTAACTGCTGAGCCAAACCAGCCAGAGCCGGTTCTCCTTTTCTCATCTAACTCAATAAACATGTATGGTTCATTTTGGATAAAGCTCAGACCTACCTTTGAAGAACCCATAATCAAGTCAGATGAGAGACATGTAAAAAATTAATTACAATAAATTGTGACACATAAAATAATAGAGCGCAGAGGCTAACTGCCTAAAGGAGTCATGAAAGGGCTAGTACAACAGCGTTTTAAATATCACTGAGCAACTACCAATTATAGAAAAGGGCATTCCTGGCAAAGGGGTGTGCAACAGCACGGAGGCAACAGGAAATATGACATTTTCAGGAAATGATAAGAATGACGGCATGACTAAAGCTAGATGCTTGTAGGGGAGGTGAGGCTATAAAAAGATGTAAGGTCTAGACTTGTAAAGGGCTATGGAAACGATGTAAAAGAGTTTGCAGCTTACCCCATGGATAATGGGAAGTCGTTAGGCACTGTGGGCAGGGGAGATCATGAGAGGATTTGCATTTATAGTTAAAGACATGGCAATGTGACAGGTGAACAAGATGTGGAGATGGTAAAGGCAAAGACACCAGTAAGGAAATGGCTGTGGGAGTCCAGGTGAGAGATGACAGGGACCTCGGGTGTAGAGTAGGAGAGCAAATAGAGAGGAGTAAACAGGTGAGAGGTCATTCAGAGGGTGGACTGGATGATTGAGTCGAAGAGGGGTAAGGGTGATGGAGAGGGAGTTTCCAGTTTGAAGTACTTGGAGTGTACCACAAGTTATATTAATATGTTGAGTTTGAGATATCTGTTGAATTTCCAAGGATAATATGCAATACATAGTGAGGAATATGAGTCTGAATGTCAGGGTCAGGGTGAAGCAAAAAAGATGACTACCAGAGTCATCGGCAAATGATGAAGACGAAGGCGAGGACAGCTCAAGCAACCAGAGATACTGAGATTCCCTGGGAGAGCTTCATAGAGTTAAAAGAGGCCTCAAAACAGAGTTCCAAGGAACACAAAAATGCAATGGACAAGGACAAAGCAATGCAGAAGCAAAAGGAACAATCAGAGTTCAGAAAGTCCTGAACATCTAGGGAGAGGAGATTTCAAGAAGTAAGTAATTAATAGCACAAACAGCTCTTCTTCCAGCAACAGTGATGTGATTCTGGTCCCCAATCCTGACATGTATACTTTAAGCAGTCAAATACTTCTGAGTATTTGACTCTTTTTCTTTCTGTTTCTCCTCTCTTAAAATTCTCCAAAAGGAAGCTAAAAATAGTTGTCTGGAACATTCCAGTTCCTTACTATAATGTTAAGTATGTACCAAGCTGGGGGACCCTTAAGAGCCAGATGTCAAGATCTAAAAGATGCTAAATAAAGACACATACTGAGAATAGGAGTCCCATTTGATACCTGTAAAACCAACTTGACAGGTGCACTCATAGTCATCCTGGCTGAGCACGTGGCAGGTGCCTCCATTCAGACAGGAGGGAGATGCATAGCAGGGATGGGTGGTTGAGTACTGGCAGTTCTCGCCTGTGAACCCCAGGGCACACTGGCATGTTGCTTTCCCCAACATGGCCTGGGCCACACACGTCCCTCCATTCTGGCAGCGGTTCTTCCCACAGGGGTCTCGATGTTGACAATATTCTCCCAAGAAGCCCTCTGGACATCTGTGAGGAAAAGAAAGTAATCCATGAAAGCTTACAAGATAATGCATTCCAGTCAAAAAACACTAGATTGAGAACTGAAAGACCTGAAGGTACAATTGTAAAACTGCCTCGCTTGAGGAGAAGTGTTTAGAGAACTTAAACACATATTTCCATGTCCTTTTGAGTCTAGGCTGGTGACAGAATACTAGGTAGGTGACACATAAAATATTTGAAAAAATAATGACAGAAAATCTCTGTAACCTGGTGAAGGAAATAAACATACAATCCAGGAAGTGGAGAGAGCCCCAAACAAGATGAACCCAAAGAAGCACACAACCAAGACACATCATAATTAAATTGCAAAAGGTTAAAGACAAAGAGACTCTTAAAAGCAGCAAGAGAAAAGTAGTTAGTTACCTACAGAAGAGCTCCCATAAAACTGTCAGCTGATTTCTCAACAGAAACTTTGCAGGTCAGAAGGGAGTGGCAAGAAATATTCAAAGTGATGAAAAGCAAAGAACCTTCAACCAAGATTACTCTACCCAACAAAGCTATCATTTAGAATCAAATAACATATAAAAAGCTTCCCAGACAAGAAAAAGCTAAAGGAGTTCATTACTATCAAACCAGTATTACATGAAATGTTAAAGGGCCTTCTTTAAAAAGAAAAAGATAAAAAATATGAACAATAACCCTGTCCAGTGTGGCTCAGTGGTCAGAGTGTTGACCTGCATACCAAAAGGTTGCAGATTCAATTCCCAATCAAGGGCACGTACCTGGGTTGCAGGTTTGATCCCTGGCCCCAGTCAGGGTGCATAAGGGAGACAACCAATCAATGTGTCTCTGTCACATCGATCTCTCTCTCTCTATCTCTCTCTCTCTCTCTCTCTCTCCTGTGTCCCTCTCCCTCTAAATATCAATGGAAAAAATATCCTTGGGTGAGGATTAACAACAAAAACATGAATAATAAAATGACAATAAATACACAGTATCAACTACTGAATTTTTAAAACAAAATAAATGAACAAGCAAAACAGAAACAGACTCGTAGATACAGAGAACATTTTGACTGTTGCCAGATGGAAGAAGTATGGGGTTTGGGTGAAAAAGATGAAGAGATTAAGAAATATAAATCAGTTATTATAAAACAGTCATGGGAAGATAAAGTACAGCATAGGGAATATAATCAATAATATTCTAATAACTATGTATGGTATCAGATGAGCGTGAGGTTTATTGGGATGATCACTTAGAACATTATATAATGTCTAATCACCAGGGTATACATTTGAAACTAATATAATATTGTATGTCAACTGTAATTGGAAAATAAAAAATGGTAAATGGGTTTCTTATAGACAACAGCAGCAAAAAATAAAAAATACATAAAACCATGTGTCTTCTCTCAATTAAGCATTAAGAAGCAGTAAATTCTCCTTTTCTTGTTCCCACTGAGACATCAATTAGTCTAGATCCCTGGGTTATGGTCGGGGGTTGAGACTATGATAAAGAAAGAAAAAGAGGCACAGAAATGAGGAACGTTCCCAAGGGCTTTTGTTCTTAGTAAAGTCTATTAAGATGTAAGTAGTAGGCCACTTCTTTTTTTAACCAAATAAAGAAAAACACAACATATAACTAAATGACATTAAAAATATCCAAGGTACCATACAGACATCAAAGTGATGAAGGAAAAACAATTCAAGAATAACATTCTATAACATTTTCCATATGGTGTGTTGAGGAATTTCTGTATATGCCACCCATTGATTCATAACATATACAGCCATCCCAAATTGCCTGAAATATTTATGACAATTTTTTTAATCCTCACCCGAGGATATTGTTTCATTTGTTTTCAGATAGAGTGGGAAGGGGGGAGAGAGAGAGAAACATCAACGTGAGAGAGACACATCGATTGGTTGCCTCCTGCATGACCCCAACCAGGGCTGGGGATGAACCATAACCAAGGTAGGTGCCCTTGACTGGAATCGAACGCACAGCTCTTTGGTTCGTAGGCTGAAGCTCTAACTGCTGAGCCAAACCAGCAAGGGCATGAAAACTTTTTATGAACAGCATGAAAAATGCATCGAAAGTCACCATTTTCATAACGAAGAGGTTGTTTAAAAGGGACCTCTCTCTAAGAAGCATTTAAAAGGAATACAATGGATGACTTAGATTCTAACTACAAATTTTACTATGTGGCTGTCACCCCAGATATTTGGTTCAAACTACTCCATTTTACTTTTTGGAGCACAGAAAACTAAATCTAGAACGCTGTTCCACCATTACCTTAAAGATAACACATTTAAACCCTACATCTTCCCCCTCAAAACCAGCTCCTGGGAGGGGGACTGTGGGGCTGGGAGAAAGAAGTAAAGGACTTAAGGAGTACAAACTGATAGTCACAAAACAGTCATGGACAAGTGAAGTGAAGCAGGGTACAGAGTCAATAAGGTTGCGATAACCACGCACGGTGCCACTGGGTATTGGAAATGTCGAGGAGAACACTATGTAAAATATACAATTATCTAACAACTAAGCTGTACACCTGAAACCAAAATAATATTGAAAGTAATCTGTAATTGAACAATAAATAAATAAATGAAAACCTGCAAGCAAGCAAACAAACAATCACCTTCTCCTACCACAGCTTCCTCAGTCCAACCATCGTGTCCTGATCCTCTCAAGGCACTGGTGCCGTCTGTCATGTTTTACCCCTTCCTGTCTTTGCCAATCATACCCAGTGCTTTTAATTAGCCACTGGCTGGCAAGGTAAAGTCCTCAGAGGTCACAGTTATCGAGACGAGAAGAGAACCAGACATCAGGAAACTGAGACGGAATGTGCCCAGAAGAACTGCGCATGGCTGACATGGCTGAGGAGGGACAGCTGACAAGGAGCTACGGTGGCAGCGGCGTACTCAGGGCGCTCCGTTGCCCCTTCCAGAGCTGTGTGAGCGCAGCAGAGCCAGGAGCAGCCGGAGCCGCGAGCGACTCCAGGAGCAGGTACAGCTAGTGAAGGGGAGGCAGTGGGGGCAGGGCCCAGCACCGAAACCACAGACTGGGTCCAGTTTCCAGCAAGCAGTCTGCACCTCGTATGGTCGGGCCGATGTGGAGTCCTGGTGTCGTGGCCTTGGACAACATTCTTAACCTCAGTATTAGTTTTCTCAGATTTTAAACAGTTAATAAGGCTACTTACTTACACACCATGGGGTTGTTATAAGAATCTAATAAAATCAAGTATGCAAAAAATCTTTTGTTAAAATGTCGTGCAAATGAAAAGCATTTTTTCTTTTTTTGTACTTACTAAGGAAAATATGACACATTACTTAAATCAGCTTGATTTGCTAATAGAATAAGTTATTTCCTGATTTTTTTAAAGTAGGGGAGTAAAAACTGCCAGCGTAGCCTAGCTAAAATTAAGCCTGAGCTATATTATTAAAAGCATTTGTTCGGAATAATGTTAAAGACTGCACCACAATTCTCATTCCCAGGGACTGTGGCCCTCTGGACAAGAAGTCTGGCTGACAACACTCGAGGCCCACCCATGGGAATTACTCACCTTGTCAATAATAGCAAACTTTTACACGTGGGTGGGCTTTGCCCAGCTTCGCTCCTGGACTATTACACTACCCTGGCCTCCCCAACACTATCATGTGGCATCTGCTCAGAGAATGCAAACTCACTGAAATAGCAGCATCATAAACATGCCACGGAACCATAGGGTTCTCAGGAAAACAAAAATGAAATACTACGAAAAATTCTGGAGCCAAACAAATGTATTCCTGAGTGATCTGTTACTAGGATTTAATCTATATTATTGCTCCCTATATGGAAAAATAAATTTCAACTACAGTATGCTTAGGAAACCAGTAAAAACAGAGGTTGGCAAACTATATCTTGAGGGTCCACTCTGGCCCACTGCCTATTTTTGTATATGACCCATGGGCTGAGAATGGTTTTTATATTTTTAAATGGTTGGGGGGAAAAAAAAATCAAAAGAAGGATATTTCATGACATTTAAAAATTACGTAAAATTCAAATTTCAGTGTCCATAAACAAAGTCTTATTGGAACACAGGCACACACATTTATTTATAGATTGTCTATGGCAACTTCTACATTACAATAACAGGGCTGAATAGCTGCAATGAGACTATATGGCCCACGAAACCACTTATTATCTGGTGCAGAAAAAGTGTGTCAGCTCCTGAGTGAGAATATATGAAGCCTAATTCTATAAATAGCACCCTACATGCTTATTAATAATGATGTTTTGATGATGAAAAGGAATGTTCTCATATCTGTTTCCACAAAGAATACTGCACTCATTCATTCAGGCAACAAACATTTATTTAGTAAGTGCCTCTTACATACTCGGCATTATTCTAGTGCTAGGAAATGCAGACTCGTGGAGGTGAAAATTCTAGTGAGAGAAGACAAAACAAAATTAGTAAGTAAAATATATAATCTGTTAGGTGGAGTTAAGTGCTATAAAAATGTAAAACAGAGAAGAGGGACAGAAGTGATGGAATTGAGGATGGTAGGGTTTAGGGGATGGTAGGGTTTAGGTAAAAGTCATGTATTTGGGGTTGAAATAGGAAAACCCAGAGAAGACCTCCCTGAAAAGGCACATTTGAGTCAGGACCTAACTGAGGTGATGGACCTGCCTTGCAGGTATCTGGGGCAAGTGTGTTCAAGGCAGAGGGAACGGCAAATGCAAAAGCCCAGAACAGGGAACAGCCCTGGCATGTTCTGCCAAAGGGGTTAAGAGAAAGAATTAACAGAAAACAGACGACGGCTGTGACTGAAAGGTGTATCATGAGGGGCCTTCAGGCCCCTGTTAAGAAGGATTTAGTTTTACTCTAGTGAGATAACATTTAGATATGATCAACATAACGACTTATTCTCCTAAAGTCCATGCATAGAACCACATCTTATTTTTATGTGAAACTAGACCTATTGTTGGTATAATAATGAAGACTTAATTTCTTATTTAAACTTTATGTTCTAAAGGGCTAGACA